CATATTGTAGTTGGGTTAAAAACTATACGCAAGTATTTTTTTTTGTACAGTTGTACTGATGTTCATTTATATATCCGTGATTCGAATGAGATATGAATGTCATACATGTGTTAGTGTGATCCATCTTATCACATTTGTTGTATGTGAGTTGTTGAACGGGAAATGTTGATTATGTTTCTGGAAATTCTATTCGTATCTGAGTGTTTCTTATGGATATTCTGTTAGATTGGATGTGGTATATGCAATAGGTATATCCGTACGTCCTCACGTACTCGATACATACATTTATTTTGGTGATTCTGGCGTTCAAGTCTAATGAAATAATCACCTAATGTGATGTTTGGCTCTCAATTAGTGTATGAAAACGGACTTATGCGTGCTGTGTAGTCGTGTGATTGCATATGAGGTTGAAATATGCAAGTTGAAAACATTGTCCTTGAGATTACCATAAAATTATACTTTTTGAGAATACCAAAATCTTGGGGCCTGTATGTGGCTTGTCATATCAGATACTGTACGCTACCAATACACACATAGTCTCATATGCAGAATGCTATCATGATTGTAGAAAATGTCTACGAGTTGGGAACACATCGTGAATGCTATGACACATTTTTATTTGTACTCGGTTAGGCTGGTATGCGCGCTGTTGTACTGATAACTGCTGCACAAGTTCAGACTTGTTTTATATCTTCATGCCTAAGTTTTCTTCCTTGATAAAAAAATATGACTTTCTCACGCAGTAGTATCTGTGATTATCATTGCAGGCGTATGTTTTTATATTGTATTCACTTCCCAATATTTTCCTGTGGAGAAGATATTATCAGCTTGATGACTCGATCGCTAGTAATTTTTAATCTTGTGATCCTACTTTCAGTAAGTATATATGAATAGACATCATAATCGTTTACAGTGATATCGGCTCTCTCTCTCTAAAAAGCGAGCTCTCTCTCTAAAAAGCGATATCATTTTTTTAAAGAGATCAAGAATTCCAAAGTCACCCGTTTTGTAACTTTGCGCGATTTTTGGTTTGGAACAAGCCTATACATCAGTACAAAACAGTGCAATTGAAGGGTGACGGCATTTTAATATCCAAGCCTCATACTCGTTGAGCAGTATGTTGCAAGTTCTTGTCTATGGTGGATGATTTGCATCGTAAGTGAATATTTGAGTGACGTATGCATACTAAAATGGAGTGCATACCAGTAACTCTGGATCAATAAACGTCAACAGGACCGTTTGACTTCAGCTTCAGCCATCGTTAATGTTCTGTCTCGGATGTCCTTTTGCACTCTATAGTTAGAATCACTATCGTACTCGCCGGTTGAGGGATCATGACTCGGGTGGCACTGGAAAGAGAGAAGTATGCGGAAATCAAGAAGCCAGACAAACCACTTAGTGGTGAGGAAATAGAGGCCATCTTGCAGGATAAGCTTGTCAATGTATTTCGAAAGAAGGCGTTCAAACCGCTGCAGAAGGAAGCATGCGCCGAGGCATTAAAAGGTACCTTTGTCTGCAATTCGTTTCTCTGGTTGCCGAAGTAGTGTGTAACTGTTCTATTGTTGCTCTCACAAGCTATGTTGAAAGGGCGTGGATACTAGAGACTCTGTGGCTCGGTGTTGGCAAAATTGCAAGGAAACGGATGCAATCGGCTACAATACCCGTGCGTGATTTGGATTGATCAGTTTCATTTCAGTGATGCGGAATATGTGTGGCTGCAGTCTGCAAACGTATTCTGTCTATCTGCAACTGGATTGGGCTCTCGGCGCTCCATTCCGTTCCGGGGCTTCTGTGCTTGCTTTTCTTTTGGATAATCGGGCTTCAGTATGCACATCTGACAGAATTTCACGCACACACCGAATTTCCCCAGGCAAAGACATTCTCGCCTGCTTCCCAACTGGGTACGGGAAAAGTCTGCTCTATCAATTGCCAGCCGTGGCCGCGTGTGATGGTGGTGTTACGTTAGTCATTTCTCCGCTACTAGCGCTCATGGTATGTTTGCCTCAGTGGACTTGGCATTTCCACTTATTTGTACGCGCGATATGGAGAACCAACGCTTTTTCCAAAGTATGTGCTTGCGAGTCTTATGTCTTGGGACATTTTTAGGTAGCAATTGCTGCACACCCGTCACCTGCTGTGTGCATAGACTCTTTCACTTACACTCAGCCCTATGTCTTATTGCCTGGTTTGCGGGGCCGAGCCAGGTCCATTCAAACACTGTGTGCGGTATACTATACGGATCGTGGATGGTTTGTGAATGCCATATAAGCAATTCGTTAGTTGTTTTGATTTGTTTGATATGTGTTTGGGTCGTTTTTGTACGTTAAAGTAAAAATTACCAAGGTAGGCAGGGCTGCATTTGAAATTCATTCTCAGAGTTAGGGGCCAGTTTTAAAGTGTATTTCTGCAGCCAGTATCGTATGCTACGTTGGCAAGCGACTGAAACATGCCCATGTGCATACTATATTGTATCCAACACCAAGAAAAATGGCATTAGTGTATAGCTTCACTATCGAGAGTCTGATTCGAATTATTCATAGGCATGAAACGTGGCCCATAGACCAATAGATTGTTCCTCGGTTTGAATTTCATTTAGGCTGATCAAGTGCGAGCGCTGTGCGAGATAGGCATCGACGCCAGACTCTTCAACTCGTCGGTCGCCACACACCAGGTATTTATCGACGTTGTCAGATGTGCCGCGCTAAAGGTTTGTGAATTATACAACCTTTGTATCTCTCATCCGGTTCTTGTACGTTCCTGTGCTTAGTCACACATTTAGCGAGATAATGGTAGGTAGACATTGCCGCCAAAATCAAGCGAAAAACAAGTGTATACGGACATACATTCAGCACGCATATCATTGAGGTTGTTGGATGGTGCATGCTTCACACATGTGAGGGGCGATATAGCCAAGCGACCCTAATCAAGTCAAAGACCTACTGGTCTATTCGAATATTCGCATAATACCAATACGCTTCCTATCCGGAAATATATTGCATTTAACATTGTTTTCGCTGCAAATTCTCGGAACCGACCACTGTATCTGTACTATAACTCCACAGCGGATGTCGCTGATGAATGAACTCATGACGTCAAATGTGAAAGTGAAACTACTGTTTGTGGCTCCTGAGGGTCTATCGAACACTGCGCTGATGCTGTGCCTTGAGCATTTGCATCGCAAAGGTAAGCAGCATCACTACATGGGCATGGAAACATATCTTCATCCCTACTATTGGGGTATATATATATATATAGCTGAGTATCGGTGGAATTGTACTGAGTATGTAGGCATGCTCATTTAATATAGCATGCGCGCAAGTCAGTCCCAAGGCTGCTGCGACGCCGGATTTGTGTTTGAGTTTTGGTGATTAGTACGTTCCGCTGTGTAGAAATTGTTCCTGAGAACATTGACGTTTCCTTGATGTAGGTAAATTTGCCAGGATGGTGGTGGATGAGGCGCATTGCATATCCTCCTGGGGCCATCAGTTCAGACCCGCCTATCGTAAACTCTCCTGGCTCAAGCGCAAGTTCGAGTTGCCTATCACCGCACTGACGGCCACAGCGACACGACGCGTCCAGGTATCTTTTGATATGGCGGGTATGATGAGTGGAAGTTATTATGTATGCTCTTCTATTGCATGTGTATCTAGTTGTATCCATGTATCTTTTGATATGGCCAGGTGTCGTTTGATATGACCAGGTATCTTTTGACATGGCCAGGTATCGTTTGAAATGGCCAGGTATCTTTTGATATGACCAGGTATCTTTTGATACGGCTAGGTATCTTTTGATATGGCCAGGTATTTTTTTGATATGGCCAGGTATCTTTTGATATGGCGGGTATGGTGAGGGGGAGTTATGATGTATGGCCTACTATTGCACTTGTGTCCAGGTATCTTTTTATATGGGCAGCATCTTTTAATATGGTGGGTGTGATGAGGGGAAGTTACGATATACGGTCTGCTAGTGCACGTGGGTCCAGTTACATCAGATTCTTTATAAAACGCAACTTTCTGCTGCGGAGTGTGTGGTGTTGGTGTAGCACTGGGTCACATTATTCTGATGGTCATGAAAGTGCCGCTGGGTCACACTATTCTGATGGTCATGAAAGTGCCGTTGTGCCGCACATGGGGACCTTCCAATGATGGAGATAGTTGTGTGGTGGTGTGCCGTTGGTTACACACTTTGTGACTATAGGCTGAGTCAGTATGCGGCTCACAACCTTCCCACTCCATCGCCAACTCTAGAGTGTAGCAAGCCCCCGGTGCACTACTGTCCTTTATTATACATCAAATCTATATGAGAGTTAGAAAAAAGCCAGGCCAATACAGTACTGTACCCTGTCTTAGCATTGTTGAGATACTGTTCCTATTACCGATTCATTGCTAGTGGCCACCGTTTTATCATTTCTGAGCATGGCACTGTGCTTTCGCACGTGTGTGGATATATAGCCGGTACACCACCTGGGTTTGTACTCTTTCTACTCAGATGCTATACGGAAGAACGGGAGCGCTACATTCGAAGTAGCCCAGTTTTACGACTGTTAAACATCTGAATTACCTTTTGGAACATCTCACAGGACGATATTTGCTTGTGCCTGCGGTTGAATGCTGTGAAGTTCATTGGCAGCACGAGAAGGAATGAACTGTTCTATGAGGTAAGCATAGGAACCGATTATTTTCCAAGTCAAAACACGCACACACACACACACACACATATATATATATCCTTTCTTCTGTAAGTTCGTGGTATAGGTTTGTGTGAAGTTGGGATTATATTCTGGCTGCATACCTTCGAAGGCACGAAGTATTCATTGCAAATGCTTATTGCAAGACCATTGTCTCAAAGGTCGGAGAAGTCTCTTACAGCCGAGCTTCAATCATTCGATTTCCACCATCTCCATCCTCACGTCTCTATGGCCATGTCCATGTCGTGTGCTCGCAGGTGGCCAACAAAGGTACCGACTCGGAGAGCCAGCGCGATGTCAGCAAGTACATACAAAAGATCAAGCGCAACACCCTGAAGGACTGTGACGCATTCAGCGGGATCGTTTACTGCCACACCCGCGATCAATGCCATGTGATGGCGCAGGTGCTGAGTAACGGCGGAGTGGTGGCCAAAGCCTACCATGCGGGACTGGGTGTGAAGGAACGTGCACGAGTGCAACAGGCGTGGATGGAGGGGGCCGCGGAGGTGGTCTGTGCCACCGTCAGCTTTGGCATGGTGAGTGCGTGCATGGTGTCTGGACATGCGTTTTCTTGTTGCACTTGGGGTTCTCAAACCCCGGATATGAATGAGTTTATCTGTTATCCTTAGATCAAAGGCATAAACTATCTTATATCCTTGGGATGCGGTGGATCTATGCGGGCTGGGTGAGCTCATTTAGGATTTTTAATAGTTTTGTTTCTTCTTTCGTATTCCTATCCGTACACACTGAACGCCTACTGATGATCCAACGCACATGTGTCTGTGCATCGTCATATCTAATGTGGACAGGGCATCGACAAAACCAACGTGCGTGTGGTCGTCCACTATTCACTGAGCAATTCTCTGGAGTCGTATTATCAGGAAGCTGGGCGAGCGGGGCGAGATGGTAAAAGGTACTGTGATAGAAATGTCTGGGCATTCGGTATACGTGTGCCCTGCTGAAGCACCTTGAATGTTGTGTATATTCACAAACGCTGACTGGATTTGGATTGGAGTTCTATCGCAGTGACGCGTGTGTCACTGGCTCGCTATTGAACATGTAGTTCGATGGAGGGTGTTACCTTGTGCGAATGGTTCTCTCTGGGTGTTGTCGAATAGTTCCCTCTGAGTGTTGTAGTGTTGTTGTGGTTTGCCAAGGTACATTCTACGGGTCAACGCAGCAACGTACTCGAGTGATATTTCGAGCTCGGTAATGCAATATTTGCAAAATTATATTCTCATTATAATGCCAATCAATCATTCCTTGTTCCGCGATGGTCCTAGTCCAACAGTATTGCTATTCGTTTGCTTAGAAGCTTATAGCTGCTGGGCATGTTTGACTCTTTCTGCGTAGGCGAGGGTCTAGTGACTCCCATCCCCATACCATCGAATAGTTGCAGCATTCGCGTACATTGCCACCTGGACCGTGTTAGCCTTATAGGCATAGTATTGCACCAACAAACGGTTATCATCTCCTTAGCAATGTGCAGAGGGTTTGATGCATCGTTGTGTCCACGTCTATTCTGTCTACACAGCGTGTTGTAGGGCATATTCTCACGCTTGTGGGTGCGATATTTTTTTCAGAGCGCTCCTACGTAAACACTTCTCGAAAGCACGCGTATGCATTGCTATACACACGATGAATGAGAGAACCCCTACCTGTTTTGAGTGCAGATCTACGGTCGGTAAATACTCGCCAATATCACTGAATACGTTTGCAGTTGTTGCCCAGGCGTAAAGCTGAATTTATATACATATAAATATAAACATATACATATGGTTCTACGTCTACAGAGCTTTTTGTCGGCTGTACTACTGTACCAAAGATGCCGAGACCAGGCGCTATCTACTGATGAAAGAGCTGCAGCTCCAGAAAGATAAGAATCGGAAGCGAAAATCGACTGCAGACACTGGCAGTGACAAACGAGGTGAGCCCCAGTGATGTGTTGAGATGTGTTTGCATGCAACTACGCGTACGCATTCGCATTCATATTCACTCAAAATGTGTGGCCTGTGCTGGGTTGTATCTGTTGGCGCGTGAGCATGTTCATCGTTTGTTGGGGCCAATGGGATGTGTCTACCGGAATCTATTTGGAGGTATATGCTATCTGTCTGGGCTGGAACTACCCAGATAGTCACTGGCGTGTGCACCCAACCACTGATATGCTCCTGTCTTACGCTCGCATAGCAGCGAGATACTTGATTTCAAATGTTTCTGTCTCGTTTTCCACCCCATTTGTGTTGGAGAGGAATTAAAAGCATCGGGAAGGTGTCGTCACCACGTTACTGTTATTTGTATCACCGAGGTCGTATGTTTATATGCAATGCAATGGTCGTGGCTCCAAAGCAGCACCAATTTTTCTCGGAATAGTATGGATTTTCACACATTTGTGTTGTTTTTACGTCCAAGCCTATCGAGTGTTGTGTTTCCGCTATTCTTCCGTTACCATTGTCGCGTGCCTCCAAATCACACTCGCATGCAAACGTCACACACTTGCTGCGCAATAGCCCAACATTGATTAAGAATATATCACTAGCGAATCTGCCTTTATGATGGTCGAGAATCCTAGTCCTCTATAGCTCACATGTATAACATAGTACTCTTCGACTTCGTACCTCTCAGTCAAGTCGTTGAATAGAATTGGGAAAATCACGGACGCCATTCCCACAGAGGAATCCGCAAACAACGATATTGAACCTGCCCCTGAACCCACCGGGGAACTTACCAACTCGCGCGACGCAATACAATCGCTAAACAGGGTATGGCTGATGCTGAGGACTCGAGGTTTTAGGGCTTTTTGATCGTACGCATAGGGCGAGATAGTTCCATTGTTCTGTCTGACGCCCACATCCAATGCTTGCAATGGTGTGTGTTCCTCCTTATCATTCGTACTCTGCATGCCTTTGCAGTGGTGTGTGTTCCTCCTTATAATTCGTACTCTGCATGGTTCTGCAATGGTGTGTGTTCCTCCTTATAATTGGTACTCTGCATGCCTTCGCAGTGGTGTGTGTTCCTCCTTACAATTGGTACTCGGCATGCCTTTACAGTGGTGTGTGTTCCTCCTTATAATTGGTACTCTGCATGGCTCTGCAATGGTGTGTGTTCCTCCTTATAGTTGGTACTCTGCATGCCTTTGCAGTGGTATTTGTTCCTCCTTATAATTGGTACTCTGCATGCCTTTGCAGCGGTGCGTGTTCCTCCTTTTAATTGGTACTCTGCATGCATTTGCAGCGGTGTGTGTTCCTTCTTTTAATTGGTACTCTGTATGGTTCTGCAATGACGTGTATTCTTTCTGTCGTTGTATGGTTTCCCAGTACGAGTTTGTCAGTACATCTGTTGTTCCCAATATGAGTATGACCTGTACTCTTCTCCCGTTGGTTGAAAGTAACTGCCGACAATTCCCACCGATGCATTGCAGATGATACGCTACTGCGAGACGCTCAAATGTCGCCACGTGGCCTTCTCAGCGCACTTAGGTGACCTTGACGATTATAGTTTGCAAGATTGCAAGCTACACTGTGACGTGTGTGCAGGTACGTGCCAGTTCGGCGCCGTCCACAACCGAGTATAGGACAACACCAAGTGAGCACTACGACCCGAGCTTCGGGGTTGAATTGCTCACATCTGTGGTGTGGTTGTGCGAACGTGTGTGTAAGGAGTGTGCCTTAGAGAACTTACCTGTCTGTCGTTGGATATCGGTTTGTTGCTGACGCGTGTTGGCTTTATCTTTGGCGACCACGCTGCTTCATATTTGAGGGCCTGGTTACATTATATCGACGAATGAATAATTACACTGTTTGATACAGTATTAGAGAAGCTCGTGTGCGTAGTACATGCATGCTTTCTATTTGTTTGATGTATGGTATTGTTTGCCAAGTGCATACCTTGACACAAGTTTCCACACACGTGTTCCCGGACGGGCGCATAAATTAATCCTGTCCATCTCTTTCATTTCAATATCTATGGCGATTATCTGCCCATTCATGCATCCATTAACTTGATAGCACAGTGATCTTATCCCACAAATACTCGACGTCGTCTTGTAGAACCTGATATGGCAAGTCTGAATCTGAAGCTCATCAAAGCCGAGAACAAACGGCCCTTCAATCCCAGCCCAGCGAATCGCGCAGGTACGTTCGGACCAGTCGCTATGGTGTAACGGTACCGTCCTGGAGTTATATGTATATTCGATACTATATTGAACCACATTGAGGCGGCCCGCACTTATATCTTCTTCTGCGAACACATGCCTGTTAGCTCTTCGTCCAACATGCGCAGTATATGTGCAGCCATTGAGTGCATATTTTCTCGTCTAAGACACTCTGCGTGCGCATGGTTGCCTGTATTTGATCTACAGCTCTGCCACCCTTGTCGAATATGGACCATGATTTGGTTGCGTTAGAGCGCTATGATAGGAGTTTGCAGGAGGAAGATCAAGCGGTGCAAAGCGTAAGTTCTACTCATTTACACGAGCTTGCCATATTCCCGGTTCTGACATGCATCGTTATATATATGTAAATTTTAGCTACAACATTCTTGACATGTATATAAGAAAATAGGAACGCGATTTTTATACGTGAGTATATATATATATATATATATATATATATGATGTACATGTACATGTATATGTATATATATATATGTATATGTATGTGTATATGTATACGTCGTATACTTATGTGTATGTGTATGTAGATGTGTATGTGTATGTATATGTGTACGTGTATATGTATATGTAAATGTATACGTTTACGTCGTATACGTATGTGTATGTGTATGTGTATGTGTACATTTATATCTAGTGTATGTGTGTGTGTATGTGTACATGTATATGTAGTGTATGTGTACATGTATATGTAGTGTATGTGTACATGTATAT